CTCTCAGAACTGTCGGCTTGGCAGTCGCCTCGTTTCAATTCTACATCTGGCGCCTGGTCAGATGTTTCACTAAGGAGCACTCTTTGGGAGGAGCCGTCCGATTTTGATATCATAGCAGTCTGTTTCGTTCTGGCCATCACGTTCTGCATAGACACAGATACAGTCGGACTTCGTATAAAGGGCAAAGATGGGTCCAGAAAAGGGCAGGCGGCACTCCTAGTCCTAGATTCAGCCGTCCCCGGTGACCGGCTGATCACTAACTTAGGTCGTGTCGTGTGCTTCCGTGGTGCCATTTCAAAAAAAATAATAAAAAGAAAAATTAAGAGTAAGAGAACTGAGTTACCTGAACGAGTGACGGTCGATGAAGTTCTGGAAATCCGGGTCAGTCGGCTTGTCAGAACAGGCGGTAGGCAGAAAATGTCCGAAATGTCAGAGCAAGTTCAGGGGTCCGAATGTTCTCGCAAAGTTCTCAAATGTGAAAATGACCGAAGTCAGCACTTCCTTATATAGGCGAAGTGAGAAGGCGAAGGGTCGCTTCCAAATTCAAAATATGGGCGGGAAAGTCTCTCGGCCGTTTGCAAGGTGACACCTGTAGCAGGCCGTCGCCTCTCACCATGCGACACCTGTCACAGGCGACGCGTGACCAGTCACGTGCCACCTGTGAGGGGCAAATGATTAGGGGATTTTCATCCTCCAATCACCTTCTGACAAGTGGACCAACCAGGTTCCGCCACGTGTCCTTCACGTAGGCAAATAGGAGCCTGCCACGTGTCAATCACAGATACGTCCTCTACGGACCAATTGAGACACGCCACGTGTCCACCCATGCCAAATGGGAAAACCGGCCAACAAGGCCCAATCCTGTTTAGAGGCCCGGTCAGCCCTAGGTTTACCCTAAACCTAGAGAGTGGCACGCTTCTCAAGACTATAAATACTCCTCTTAATCCTCATTAAGAGGAGGACAGAAAAGAGAGAATCAGAGAGAGAAAAAGTGACAGAACACTAATCACTCACGGATTATACATTAAACACTCTCACCTAGAGAGACCTTATTGCTTTAATTTCCGTAATCATTACTCCTTAATCAGGTACTAACTTGACCGTTGGAGGCGGAGCTCTCAGGAGTCTCCGTTATTTTGCAGGTACAGGCGGCCGGTTCCAGTCTCGGTGTTGTAACTCTCCCGCAGGACATCAGAAAACCCCGAAACAATTGGGGAGCAGATTAACCACAAGTTCTTACACATGCAGCATTCACATCAGGGTTGTGGGATTTTGAGTGGAGAGTTGGTTATTGTTCGCAATTTATTTCTTTTGCAAGTTTGAATTTATTTAAACTCTGGTTTTTATTTATTTACTACTTTTGTTGGGTTTTGAATAAGGGCCTTAATGGTTCCATCTTGTATCACTTAATTTGGTTTTATTTGTTGGTTTTGAAACTTTATTTATAACTGAGTTAGTTTTTCCACTGCTATTTTCTGATAAAGCCTTAACGTTTGAACACGTGGCAGTAGCATGCCAGTAATTCTCTTGGATTTTGTTCAGGGTATTTACAGGTTTTAAGAGAGAATTATTGGGGTGTTACAATGCAATAGTCAAGGATCCATGTGCCGCACATGCAAAAGATGTACAAGGCTAGAAAAGAATGAAACCTCACATGGTTATAATAATAACTCACTATTAGTTTCAAATTCACCAAAGGGAGCAGCACCTTCTTACCACAAACAATTAGATTTCGGCTTCAAGGTCCCAAAAGTTCTAAAGACACTACCTTAGCATAATCTACTCTAGAATCAACCAAACATACTCTCATACCGTGCACACCATTACCATTTAAGAAGAAAAGCATTCAACTATACAAGTTTGAAAGTATTATGTCCAAAGCAAGAACAAAACAAAACACATTGCAAATTTGCCTTGATAGAAACAAAAATCTTTTTGGAGTTTTTTGAAAATAATGAACATGGAAATGCATATAGTGCATGGCATATATGAATCAACATCCCACCAAACCTGATCGAATACCCTCCACCAAGCTTGAATGAGACAATACACTCAAATCATAAATCATAGAATCCATTGGAGGGGAAAACAAAGAGATCAATCCAATAAACCAACACATGTCTAACAAGTCACCGACCATTATAGAAAAGGGCAAGGAAAGATATTACCGGATATAGATGGGTGTAAATACCCGTAATGACCAAATTCAACCTTTCAAAGCCAATTTCTTCCAAAGCTATGCCTTGAATGCCACATGCTAGGAAAGATGAGTCAAACTTCCTTGATTCTTGATCCAAACCAATGCACCAAATTATATCAAGTTATGTAACTAGCAAAAGGTACACAAACATTTCCATGAGAGAACTATTCTAAAAATAAAAGAAACTGAAAGCAATAAAACATGGTTTACTTCCCGAGAAAAGCTTGCTTTAGTTCCAAACTTGACCGCTCTAGTAAATAATATTGCAATGAACGCAAGAGATTGTCAAATGCACTACTACACATTTCATAAGATAAATAGTACGCAAATGACGGGAAGAGGATGTACAACAAGCTTAGTGCACACCTATGAGGAGAGAGATGCCAAGAGAAAGAAGAAAAATCAAAGAAGAATTCAACAAAATAAGAAAAGGAAGAAGAAGAAAAAGAAAAATAAGACAAACTCTCCTTAAGATATTTTTGGGTGGCAAAATCACCCATTTCCTCAATGATAGATGAATGAGGGACATGTAAATCATCATAGACAAAGCGGTCCCAAATAGGCTTATTGACAAAAGAAGGGAGGGATATAGGAGTGTTGGGGATATGGTTAAATTTCCTTGAAAAAGGGACCTGATATGAGGGAATAAGGACAATGGTCTCACAAATGAACTCTTTTACACTACTATACCTCAAATCACCAATAAGAGCATGAAAATAAATCATAGAATCCTCAAAAAGAAGAACACTCATAATCTCTATCTCCCTCAAATATCCAACGTCTAAGAAGAACTACATAATCCCCTTCATCACAACAATGAACAACAACTCCCTCATTATCCTTAAAGCCCAAAGTCACAAAACCATGCATGAATGGATGTAAATTCATTTCAAACTCATCTCACTCCCATGAAGTATCCTCAACGAACTCATTCAAAAAATTATGGATTTTCATTTGACTCTCAAAGAGCATATTGACATAACGACAAACGAGTCCAAATACTCATGGATAGAAGAATCACAATCATGCACAAGAGACTCATCCAGATGGGAAGGAGGGTTGGGGTTTTCAAAATCGGCACTCTCTTCATTCTCAAATCTTTCACCATCACTCAAATGCTCACCAATGGGATTCTCACACTCTCTTGGTTGCTCAAAATCATCATCATTATCATCAACACATATATTAGATTGGAATTTTTCACAAACAAGCACCAAAGATGACAATTGACTTTCCAACTCTACTTTTCTTTTCAATTCTTCATTAAAAAGATCCTCACACTCTCTAATCATCTCAAATTGGCTCCCTAAAATTTCTATCATTTGTCTCTTCAAGGGCCTAATATTAGGATTCATCTCTAACTCCCTTAAAGATTTATCAATTTGGCTATATGGAATTAGAGACTCATCATAAGATTTTTGAGAATTAAAAGGCAAAGAGGGTTGGTCAATAGTAAAAGAAGAGTCACAACCAAGGGTAGAATCATCATCATTAAAATCATGAGCATATTCTTCACGTTGGGGAGTGGGGGCACAATCAAGCACATGAGATTCGACGTTAAGGGAATGAAGCACATCACAAAAAGGGATGGTAAATAATGAAGAATATTGAAACACACCATTAGCATCAACTTGAGCATGTACTTCATCATCATGAACAAAATACGAAATAGAGTTGAAATCATTTGTTCTAGGTTCAATCATGGGATAATATGACAATTCATGTGAATTCTTGCTAACATTCAAAGAATTAATACATTGCACATCAATATTAGAAACGTGATTACCCCTATTATAGACATCCCAAGCAAACCAAACATTAAAATCCTAAGCATTATCGATTGCTAATGATCTAAATTCACCATTATTCATACATTCAACTTCATCCCTAGTTTTCTCACTCAAACCTAAATAAAAAATCTCACAAGCCTCCAAAATATTACAACAATTGTACTCCAAAAATCCCTCAAGTCTATTGAAATATTCACAAAAAGGCTCATTGTCATATTGAGGAAATGAGAGACATCTCTTTTTTTTTCAAAAAACAAGCAAAAATCAAATAAAAGAAAAGTATATACAAAGACCTAGACTTAAGCAATCCAAAACACTCAAACATAGACATCGTTCCGTTCCCTCACAACGGCGTCATTTTGACGAGGGGAAAAACTAGGTCATTGACTAATCCTCCCTAAGAGAAACAAAAATTATAAACATTTAACAAACCTATATACTAGTGTAGAGGTAAATCAATGGTCGAACCCAAAGGAACGGTTATGTTCAAGAGCTTTCAATGTGTGCCTAAGCTAGGTCGAAGTCGAAGGTGAAAAGGGAACACTTACATCTACAACCAAAAAAATAAAACACTACGGAATGGGAATCAAAAAGTAATCATGACAATTGCAACAACTTGAGAAGAACATGTCAATCAATGGTTATGTAGTTAACAACATATTATTTAATGTGTAGTGAAGTTAAGTAAGGGTATGTTGATATTTTCATACAAATTTACCAAAAGAGAAAAGCTTTAGTTTATTGCATATAATGTGAAACATCCATTTTTGAAAAATATTTCACATAATATAAAATGGAGGAAGTAAATTATACATTTGCCAACTTTTTGGTTAATCCCTAGTAATGTCACTAAAGTAGAACTTTAGTGATTAGATTTAGTGCGCAAAATATTTTAAGAGGCCATTTTATGTAGGTGTGCAAATTTTACATAATTTTACAATGTGTAGTCCAGATATATTTCACATCAATGAGTGCAATTATGCCAATCATGTATGACACATTAAATTTCTTGTTGCACAACATTTTGATGTTATGAAAAGAGTTTAAATAAAACACACGAGTACGTTTATTAGGCTTATGACTAAAAGTACTTTCAAAATTGGAATCTAACTAAATTAGATGGACTCTAATTCAAGAGCTTTCAACATCAATAAAATACAAATAAAATGCCTAAATGATCCAAAATGTGTTTCATTTTTCTCATTAGTCATAGATATCCACCCCAAAACCACTTAGACACGACGCTTCTTTGGAAGTCGGCATCCATTGTGTGGACGCCGAGTGGTATCTTCAATATATGCAATAGGTGTATGATCTCCTTTACCAAAAGTGTAGCCTTCTCTCCAGCTAAGAATTGCTTGCTTCTTCTTCTTAAAGTGAGTGAACCCATTTACTCTCATGACAACTGATTTCAAGCCAAGATTTCTTGCAAGTCTTCCCACATGTTCTGCTGTTGCTTCCGCAGCATATCGTGAAAGCTTCGGACCACCTTTCATTTCTTCCAGGCATCCTGAAGATGCTCCTACCTTTTTGTTCCCCTTGGAATCGGTAATGGAGACAAAAGTATTGTTCTTGATCAACTTAATGTGTACAATATCCAACTTTTCTGCAGCATTGTCTTGGCGTTGTCCGGGAGCTTCCCTCTTATCTAAGGCAGTAGCTTCCCTCTTATCTAAGGGATTCTTGACAAAGTTCATGTGACTTGACGTTCCAAAATTCCCAGCTTCTTTGGTGGCAGTTGTATGTATCCTTGCTCCCACTATAAACATGTTTAGATTATTCATATATTTGGAAAGAACACCATTTATAGCACAAAAATTCATGCACAACCCAATACAAATTACAAGCAATGCCTAAGAAAAGTGCCAAGATAGGCACTGAAATTCACTCAAGATCACATTCACATTGCGATCAATGAGTGATAATTTCTTTGAGTAAAATAAGGAAATAATAGCAAGACTGAAGCTCAACCATAAACACCAATGAACCAGCTACTGCAAACACATGACACTAATAAGTAAAGCAGGCTTCAGTGAACCAGGTATGTGGTCTATTCCAGCTTCTTTAAATGGGGTTGCCACACATACAAACAAAAGGGTCAAGGGAGAGTAGGCCCATTGACTCGCAGGTCAAAAATTCATCAGAAATCCCAGTCTAAGTCAGAATTATCTATCTTTGTACTCTTAAGCATCTTCTCAATGTCTCTGTCTTACCCTCTTTACAGTTCAAACTTCTTCCACATTCTCCACACCCAGTTTAGAATTACTATTACTCTAATGTGATTGGCATGAAACTTTTGAAAATCTAGATAACTAGCATCAAATATAATATTGGAGGGCGAAGGGCACAAGCCAACTTTATCAGTTATAGCAACTCTGCTAATAAGTGAAATGAGTTTGACAAAGTCGCCACACATTGTGTGAGTCTAACTCTGCTAATAATTAATATTAACCAAGCATCTTAGTTGCAAGTTTGCAACTTACAAACTGCTGAAATAAATGTTGCAAAATTAAAATGTACATCCCAGCGATTATTCAAGAAGAACAAATTCCCTAAGAAAAATTGTTCCACATCGAAACCTATAATGGCCATCCACCTATGAAGCTTATTATACCATGGATTTCGATCCCAATCATATCAGCAATCAACTACAGAGTATGCCTACACAAAATAACATGGCTCGCAAATAATTCAAGTTAATCATCCCCATCTCCAACTCTCCATTTTCCCTAAAATATATACGATTAAAAAAACTCGATGCGGTAAGTTCAATACATCCAATCACCAGCATCTAAACTCCCAGCTCCAGGGCAGGCTTATGTTGATTTTAGAATTACACAACCTCTCCTAAAACCTAGCCTAAATTGATTCGGAATTCAACCACAACAAACAAGTAACATGTATCTGAATATTCGTTGAATCGCTGAATAATCTATGCCATAAGGGTTCAAACATATAGAAATTCAAAGCATAGCCCCAACAAATTCATCTTAAAACTACCAAAGACTGCAACTTTTTTAAGATCATTTTCAAGTCCCGGCAACAAAATCATCATCAGCAGAATCAAAACAACCACAGTCAAACAAAACCCTAATTCCAAAAGAAAAACAACAAAAAACTGAATCAAATCAAAAAATTCTTTAACATGTTGAATTCAGAAGAAAACCCTAACCTCGAAGGTGAGTATAATAATAGGGTAAGAACAAGGAGGTGGAACTGGACTCCTGGTCGTCGCGAGACAGAGGGGATTTGGAGACGACAGAGGAAGAGGCGGCGGGACGCCATGAAGAAGAGGAGAGAGAAGAGAGGCGCCTTGCCGCCACCCTCAACATCTTCGATAGGATTCGGATATCGCCTTTGACGGTGTAAGGAGGAGAGAGAAAAATGAAGGGTTGGATGGTGGACGTCTGGACGAGGTGCGTACGAACTACGAAGTGGAAGAGACATAGGGAAAAGTAGCACTGTCAAAATAGTTTGACAGTTCGGTTATGATTCGGTTTGAAATTAGTTCGTTTTGAAATTAGTTCGTTTTGAAATCGGTTTAAGTGACCTACGGGCCGGTTTCGGTTAGGTTCAATTATTATCAATTCGGTTTTAAGTAATTTTTACGCGGTTTTAATTTGGTTCGGGTAATAAACGATTTGGTGCAATGAGTTGCGGTTTGTAAACAGCTTTTAACCCGGTTCAAACGGTTTCGGGTTAATAATGGTTCAATTCTTTTTCGGTTCAGTTCAATTTAGAACTGATTCGGTTTTTATATCGAGTTTGGTTCTGAAACGGTTTAACATTAATTGGACCGGTTCGGTTTTGGGTTTATTAAAATACGGTCTAGGTCATATTTCAGTTTCAAATAATCGATTTTTAATGGTACAATTCTCGTTTGGGTCGGTCGATTTCAGTCCTTTCAGGGAGTTAAATGAGATTCAAGTATCGTAATAATGTACTCTGTATTTCGTAGTAAACATGTGTGCATAATTAAATTTCATTTAAAATTCCGTTTAACATGTTTTTCATTTCCCCTTTATATTTCATACATTTAGATTAAGATGACAAGATTAACTCTACAAAGACTATCAAGTCATAAAAAATAGCAGTTTGTTAATGGTTCGATTTGTTCGGTTTATAAGCGGTTCAGTTTGAAAATGGTTTGGTTTATGAACGATTCGGTTTGAACGGATTTTAAACCAGTTCAAATGGCTTCGGGTTAGAAACGATTAGGTTCTTTTCTGTTCAGTTCTATTTCATTTCGGTTTAGATTTGGTTCGGTTCCTTAACGGGTTCGATTCGTTACGCTTTAACATTATTTGAATCGTTTTAGTTTAGGGTTGACTAAAATACGATATAGGTCGATTTCCGATTTCAAATAGTCGTTTTTAATCAGTTCGATTTCCATTATAATTGGTTGGTTTTAGACAATCAAACGGTTTCGATTTGAAATTTAACAGTGCTAGAGATGGGAGATTGTAGAGTAAAAATACAACACTAGTGCTAGAGATTGTTGGCCTTGGGGGTTTTCTTGACTCAATCACGAAAATGAGTTATTTGTAATTTTAATTAAAAATTATACTTGTTTTTGTAGGAAATTTCAAATTTTTAAAATTGTCAAATTTCAAAGATGGTGAAATTTGACAATTGTGGCGGTTAAATATTAAACATATATTACCTTCGTTATATATTTCAAACAAAATTGGAAACTAGGATAGAGAATTACTTCATTTTTATATTTTTTAAAAAATAAATTAATTAAAAATTTAAAAAATTGGAGAGAAATCAATCAATTATTACATATTACTAAAAGCGAATCTAGGATAACACGTGTCGTTTTATTGGTTTTTTCAATTTAATTTGATTTTTAAAAGTTATTTAATATTTTAAATTTTTAAAATATATAAAATAATAAAAATTACTTTTATTATTATTATTGAAAAAAAAAACCACCACCCCTCCCACCATCTTCCCCACCATACAGACATACATCTTGCCACCATTCCCTCTCTCCTTCCTCTTTACGCAGCTCCCCCTCCGCCGGCCCAAAAATTGATTGGCGTCCCGTTCACCCATCAACGATTGACTGTTATCCCGATCTTCCCTTACCTGTCACGCCACCCGTCCAGACGAAACCTAGCATGAGAAAATCGCAACCAACCTCTACCTTCACGAACAACACTTTTGATTACACCCCTTCCCGACCACCGCAGCCTCGAAATCACCCTCTCCCCTGTTTTCTGAATTTCTGGCCCCCATAAACTCTATTCCCCACCCAAAACCACCGAAAACTTGTTTAACCTAGAAAACCTGAAACCGTAGAAATGGGTTTTCCAGATTAAACCCGAAACCCTGAAAGGGGTTGCAATATAGAGGTGGCGGTGAAGTAGCGCTACATCAGTGGTGTTATTTGCTTCCTAGTGGCTGCGATTGTTTCTTGGGTGGCGTGAGGTGGTGCTAATTGTGGCTGATGTCGTGGTAGTGAGGGAGCATGGTTGTGAATGACGGAGATGCGGGGGTGGTTCGATGCTGCTGTTGTTGGTTGGGCAGTGATGGCAGGGGAATAGTTGTGTGAAAAAACAGGTGAGGGGGATAAAATATTACTGATGCATCTAGGTGTATTTCAGCATCTAACACCCATGATAGATCATTCTTTCTGGTAATATCAAGGGCAAAAAATTCAAGCTTGGTAAGGTTCGGCATAATTCAATATCGATTGACGATAATGTAGTAGTATGTAGTATCAATTAATCGGACATCAAGACCTTCTAATGCAATTGGGTAGAGCGTGGTGCTGATAACATGTTATAAAATAAGGGAAAGAGAGAGAATATAAGAGAGAGATATAGATAGGCAATTGTGTTGTGTTCATTCATCCATTTAATGACCATCATCTATATATATACATGATGTAAACATTGTAACATATATGGACAATGAAGAGTCCATTCATGAGAGGGTTAATGTGAACTAATGACATATGGAGGGTTACAAGGATGCTATTAAAACCATACTTAAGATAGTCATAAAAAAGATAATTACAAGCTATAATGGGCATACATTATTATTTGTAACAATATTAGCCTTTTAAAGTTTTTTTGTTTACTAAAATAGGAAATCAAATAGAAAGTTGCACATAACCTTAATCATCTGTTTTTGGTAAAAGTTACACATAACATTTAACGGATGTAGTATTTAGTTTACCGACTGTAGGCGTCGTTTGAAGTGCGCCTACGTTAGCATGTTGTGAATATGCTTGGCACTTAATGGAAGTGGGAATTGACATAATAAGATTAGGGACAAATAAAGTAGGGAGCTGCCAACAAGTTTTTAAGGAACTTGTAAACCGTTCACGGATCATCAAAGGCAACCACGATTAAGGGACAACGAAAGGAAACAACGATTGACCCGTGAAGGTTACACCCCATTCATAATCCATGAGATTACTAACTCCATATGGTTCGAAACCACGAAAGGAGGATCCGGGATGATGGTAGGAAGTGAGTCATGGAGTCACATTTGCCCGTATTGGCCTCTACTCGATTCTTATAGTGAAAAGTGATTCCTGCGATCTCAAAGGCATGCAAACGAAGATTCAATTTGCTCCAAACTATAATTATGCTAAATTGGTTGAATATTAATGCAACATATAATTCTAAAATATTGTGATCAATTTAATTAATAACGAGATTAAAGAAACCAAAGTCGGTTGTCCAAATTGTCTTATTAGACGTCATTTTCAATTACATATTCCCTTTAACATGCAATATGGTGGTCAAAAATAATAATAGAATAAATATTAATATTGGAAGCAATTTAACAATAATAGCGTTAGTCAAATCAAATATAAATTAACCTAATCGTGATACTAGCAATATTAAAATAAAATAAGTAATTAAAATAATTAAATACTCACATTAAGCGCGTTCCTTAAAATTGCTACATCATGAATAAATTGTTAGTAACTTCAAAAAATATTAATCAAATTGAAATAATTAAATTAAATAAAAAGTATAATTGATTTGGTCAAAACCCTCAGTCAATTACACCTTTCACGCCTTGGTTGAAGGACGGAACCTCAGGTTAAGTATGGACTCCTTTAAGTGCTTAAGGGAAGAATGGTGTAATTAAGAATATAGGTTTAAGGCTTATAATATGAGAGAGAGATATGAGAGAATGATTTTTGGTGTAAAAGAAAGGAATAGAGAATGATTTTGTGCCCCAAACTCATAGGAAATGGGAATTGACATAATACGATTAGGGACAAGGAAAGTAGGGAGCCGTCAACAAGTTTTTAAGGAACTTGTAAACCGTTCACGGATCATAAAGGCAACCACAAATAAGGGACAACGATAGGCAACAACGATTGAACCGTGAAGGTTACACCCCATTCATAATCCAAGAGATTACTAACTCCATATGGTTCGGAACCACGAAAGGAGGATCGGGGATGATGGTATGAAGTGAGACATGGAGTCACATTCGCCCGTATTGGCCTCTACTCGATTCTTATAGTGAAAAGTGATTCCTGCGATCTCAAAGGCATACAAACAAAATATTCAATTCGCTCCAAACTATTATTAAGCTAAATTGGTTTAATATTAATGCAACATATTATTCTAAAATATTGTGATCACTTGATTAAACAACAAGATTAAAAAGGAACCTAAACCGGTCGTCCAAATTATCTTATTAGGCCAAAATAAATAATAAAACAATAAAATAAAAAAGGTTTGGGCTGAAATTAAAAAATCTATGCTTTGACCAAACATCAAGACTGATCCATGGACTATCCAAAAATTGAATACGATTTTTTAAGCACTCTCGGGATTAAATTCTGAACCCGACCAATAGTGGCGGTGAAAGGTTGTTCATCATCGGGTTTGGTTTTGGGGAGACATTTTTAGGTGTCTACAGAAGCCCCCACTTTGACTGAGTTTGTAGGAACGTCAGTTTCGAAAACGATAGTCAAAGTAGTCGATAGGGACGGAGAATGATTTAAGACGTTCTGCGATCCTAAATCACTCTGTATACGCCGATACCTGCAAAAAATGTTAATTCTACAGATAAAAGAGTAAAAAGATAGAATACGTATCTGGCACCAGTGTATCGGTGACAAATGAGTTTGGCAGGTTCCTATGCTTGAAGGAATCCACCGGATAACGTTCGCTGAAACGCTTTCCATGCCTGAGGAAAGCCGACTGATGAATTTGGTAACTTTCTAAGCCTGAAGAAATCTACCAGATGATACTTTCTATGGTTGAGGAAAGCCGACATATGAATTTGGCAGTTTTCTATGCTTGAAGAAATCCACCGGATAATACTTTCCATGCTTGAGGAAAGTCGACAGATGATGAGAGTGCAAGTCTTTGTGTATCGAGAACCTTGCGCCGTGAAATGATGGTTGTTCGATTGTCCCCGAACGTGGGCTGTAGTTGGTTTGCTTGTCC